TGCCGCTTCTTGTTTTTACCACTTCCTCTTGACCTAGAGTTGTCTTCCTTCCTTCCAATTCTTTGCATAGTTCTTAGAGTCCCAAAGACCCTACTGGTTTTCTTGCCAGAAACATATTACTCCTCTGATTTATTAAAATTTAGCAATTACCTCACCAAATGTTGCACCACTGAATCCATCTCAAAAGGTCTACTTTCTGAAAGATAAAATTTAGGTGAACAGAAAGATATAAATTGGTGCTGGTTTTGTTTTTGGTTTGATTTTGTTTGGTTTTCAGTATTGAAGACTAGATTACTCGTTAGTTGAGTGCCTCCTGTCTGAGACATCTAACCCAAGCCATTCCTGTACTTAGCACCCTCTTGGGTTAGACTCAATTCCGTCCTCCAGGAACTTTCAATAATGGGCCTTGTTTAGTAATAAAGTAGTAAGGGCACTTAACTTAGAAATGTCTATCTCCCTCCAAAAGTTATAGGGTAAAGAAAAAAAACAAGGAAGATGCCCAAAAGTGCTTAGGTCTTTATTTCAGCAGGCACGATATATAAAATACTTCTGATAGTGCTCTTCTAGTTGCAAAGCATTTTCACATTTATCGTAATAAACATACTAACTTACTGCTTTGTAATGCAAAAGTAAATGTAAAAATAAAAGGAAAAGAATTTTAAAAATTGAAAATTACCTATAACTGCACTGCTTTGGGTAATGCTATTAACATCTAAATTTTTATGTTTTTGTTCTTTTTCTAAAATAGGTAAATACTTTGGTTAAAAAGTGGGATAAAATAGTACACACCATATAATTTTTTTCTGCTTTTTTCTATTCAGTAATCTACATAAATGTACATACTTTTTGTCATTCTTCCCCTCTAATGTCATTTAATAGCTTTCTGTGCCATATGACTGCACTGCCCCATTGCTTATTTCCTCAGACCTCTGTGTTAAACTTGGTTTCATAAGGATTGGGAGTCATTGCCCACAGCTTAGCTGAAATGATGCTTTCCGGGCACAAGAGAGTGCTGAATAGCTTTTAGAAGATCCCAGCATGATTTCTATTTTGTAAAATGTTGGCTGAAACCCCCAGTCTTAGGGGTATTGCAGTCTGTCCACTGATCTCAATGAAAGTTTCTAAAGTACCATCCTGTGAGGTGGAGCAGGAAGCTCTGTCTCTCTGTCAATCGAGGCAGCTGTGTCAGGCTTTAGTAAGGTTGATGACATCTAGGTGACTCTCCTAGAAGTCAAAACTGTGGCCAAGACAGTGACTAAAATAGTACAAGCAACTTGATACGTAGCTTGATACTAAGAAAAAAACCTTCTTTTTTCTCTTTTACAAAGCAACCAAAGGAAATGAAGTCCAGTGCTGGAAGTAAAGGAAATGAGGTAGGAAATATTTTCTCCTGGAGGATTTTCCTCGGAAACAATCCTATGATATCTTTTTTTATTATTATTACACTGATTGTGGTTGTTAGGTCAAGTCCCTCTTGTAATTGTATCCCACCCCCAAGAGGTATGACGTACACCATGACCCCCATTCTCTCCACCTCCTCTCTCCCTGATCCCTCATTCCTCCTGTATTAGCTCCTCTACTGCCTTCATGTTAGAATTGAGTACACTAGAGTCTTGCTTCTCTATTCTTGTGATGGTTTACTAAGAAGGTGTTCCATCTCCATCCAGGTTAATACAAAAGATGTAAAGTCTCCATCTTTTTAAAAGGCTGAATAGTACTCCATGGGATACATATACCACAGCTTGTTAATCCCTTCCTAGGTTGGTGGGCATTTAGGTTATTTCCAAGTTTTGGCGATTGTAAATTGAATTGCAATAAACAGTCTAGTGCATATGATATCTTATTATTACAAGGTTTGTAAACTGCTTGATTTGGAGTGAAATTAAATCCATTTTTCTCTGATTATAAATAGAAGCCTCGATAAGTACAGATAATAGGGGGAAATGTTTTTTTAAGGAGAAAATTAAAACAGCATATTATAATACCCTCCAAAGAAAATAACTGTTAACATTGTGGTGTAGGCATCTTTCCAGTCTATATTTATGTGTGTATTACTTTACAAATGTATGCTATACATTGTTTCATAACCTGCTTTGTTCACATAGCAATGCATGGTGAATAGCTTTCTTGACAGATACTCTGGGAGGCCATGATTTCAATTTGCTGCATTATTTTGCATTTTATAGGTGTGCCGTAATTTCTTTAGTCAGTCTTCCATTATGATAAAATATCTTTTCCATCCTTCATTTTCATTCACTCATTTTCCTGCATATATGAAGTAAGACTCAAAAATCAGGACATGTTGTATGAAAATCGCAGGTGAAAAAGAAGCCCTATTACTTTGTGGCATTGGTTACCTTGCTTTCTAAGGTTTGTATTTCTCCAGATGAACTGAACAAAGGTACAGACTGGTGCAGTCCCAGTACTCACATCAGGATCAACCAACAGCAGAGTGGCCAATCCTGGATTGGAAGTGACCTTGGAGATCATCTATTAAATAGGCCTGGAAGCTAGGCATTAGTCTATGATTTTTATATTTCAAATTAGAAAACCTGGGTTGAAGTACATGCTCTGATAGTGACTGAAAATGTGATCTCTGGCAGTGATCTGAAGAAATATTGCACTATGTTCGTCTAGGAGATCAGGATAATAACACCTAATGCTGCCTGCTCAGAGACGCTGCCTCTGGAAGGCCACTTGCATGATGCAGTTACAGAGTAGTGAGGCTTAATGCTGCTGCGTTTGTACCAATTGAATCTCCTGGCTTTGTAGTTGCAGCTCTGATGAAAAAGATCTCTGATTCATTTGGCAGACAAGTACTTTATAAATCCTGCATCCAATAACATCCAGTCTCTCACACCCCACAAAACCACAAGCACAACCAAAACATTTAATGCGCTACTATTTTCCCCTCCAAGAATTTCTTATTTCCTTAATTACATCTTAAAGATCATTTGCCAAGTATGGGCCCCACCAAAGATGAGCCAAATCTTCTCCAGGGTAAAATTGCTGCTTAGGGCAGAGCCCTCAGCGGGTCTCTACATCAGGAGCAGAGCCTCTAAGTTTAAGAACACTCTAGTAAAGGAAGCCGGAGATACTCTTCCCATCTCACAGAAACCCAGAATGGTTTCCTAAACTTCGTAGTTAAGCAGTTGCACATTTTTGTTTGAGGGGAGAAGGGAGGGGAACAGCACGTTTTAAATTAAAGCCCATTTCAGACATCTCACTGGAATTTGGGCCAGAGCTGTAGCGTTTCATTCAGCTTGACATCCTTGAATATCATCTTGGAGTCTGAACAGACCAAGCACAATTATTCTGAAATTTTCTCACAGAAAACAAACGGAATAGGACTAAATCTAGATAGCTCGACTTTAAAAAAAAAAAAATGTTTTATTTCAATTAGTCATTGTAATTGCATGAGAAACAGAAGTCTTAATTTTTATAAACACAGAAATATGCATGGCATTTTCTTCCTTCAGTATCCCCAAATACATAAGATATATGCTTTATAGAAGCAGAGTAAGAAAGAAAATAACACTTAGCAAACATCTTAAAGCCCTCCATTAAAGGCTAAAATGAAAGATGTTTTTCCTTCCCTGGCAAAGAGCAACAAAAGAACAATTGGGGTGTAGGAAATAAGTGAACCAGTTGACAGTGTGTGGCTGGGCTGGAATCGAGTTAAATTAACTTCATTGTTCTCTCTGCTACCAGAATAGTTTAAGCAAAACGCTGTGTAGCACAATGTCTTCTTTATGAATGTAAAATTGAAATCTTGATTCGGATTTCCCTAGAGATGGAAACCTAAGTAAATCATCTTCTACCACAGACACACCAACCATGAGCTTATTAAGGCTGTCTGTTTATATTACCTGGCATTTATTTCCTCCTAGTTTCCAATTAATAGCAAAATTGTACAGTCATGTTAGAATGATTTTATTTCTTCCTTTTTGGTCCTGGTTGGCTACATCAGGTTAATTTTATTTTTAAGCTATTCTTTGAGCGCCACCTGTTGGTAGAATTTTAGCACAACTCCTGGGTACATTTACAGCAAGCCACAGGCTTGAACATTGATGAGCTCCCAGAACAGGTAACAAACTACAGAATGTGTGAAGGAAGGTGACCCAGGAACCGGGGCATGGCCAGCAGTGGGGTGACTAGTGGGAAGTTAGGGAGGCGTGGGAAGCGCTAGCAATGAAGTGGAGTTCATGAAGTCATAAGGAACAAATTTCAGGAAAACAAAGTGTGGCTATCCTAACCTCGTTTTCAAGTTTCAAAAAGTTCCTATTGCTTATCTGTGTGTGTGGCTGTGCCAGGAGTTCATAGACTGCTAGGAACTTATTTTAAAAATCCTTGTGTGGTCTTTACTATAGACGGGGCATTATTGAAGAGCTTCACTAATGTTTATTTGTTTAACTCTTATGATGACGCTATGAAGTAGGTGCTATTAGTCTCATACTCATTTCAGTTAGGGAAACTGAGGCACAAACTGGGCACACAGCTTCTTCAGGATGACACAGACCATGGCACTCTGGCCCCCATGTTCCTGCTCCTTGCTGCTCTGCTGCCTGTGGGATTCCAGAACCTTCCCTGAGAGCGGCAAGCAGTGAGCTCTTTGACCCTCTCCTGCCCCTTTATCTCACTTCATCTAGCTCATAAAGTGCCTGCCCTCTGTTCACCTGCTCCCAAATCATGGGCTATCTCACACCAGGTTTTAAAAGGATGCTTCCTTGGAAAATGCTGTTGACCTCGCTACATCTACCTTGTCTCCTTTTGTGGCTCCATTGTGTCTCACTGGGGCTCTGCCTCTCACAGGCAGTCTAGCCTTGCACAAGCCACTGAAACTTTCTTACTCCCAGTTCCCATATCTGCAGAATGGTGCTAATGTTACCTTGCACTTCACGGAGTTGTCATGAGGCCCGAATGAGACACTTCTCCTCAGTCAGTGTTGGTGGGCTTTGTAGATGTTGGCTGTGGCTCTCACGAGTCATCTGTCATGCTACCCCCTCTACAGAGAGCGGGGGTTTGCACAGAAGAGAAAAGTGGGACCTAAAAGGTGGTACCTGACTTACCAACTGCTGGTTCTCATCCTTCTCTGCCTGGCTGCCAAGTGCTGGAGACATGGCCCCTTTCAAGGCACCATGGGCACTGTTGTTCTCCAGTTCCAGGTCCCTAAGCCTCAGACCATCATTTATGTGTACCCCTTTTGTGACATTTCATGTCTGAGGTTCTTACCATCACCCAGTGCCCTCTATTCCCTACATACACATGCGCATATGCACATACACACACATAAAAACTTTGCATTCATCTGTTCTACTTTGGGGGTTGTAAGAGCTTGGATCAGATAGTGAATAAATGATTGAGAACATATCAAGTTTTCACAAATGATTATCTCCCTAAGGCTTCCATTTCAAATCTCCCTAGAATTGTAGCACCCTGTGACTATTCACCTCTGAAATTATCCAGGAAGAGATGGTATGTCTGGATGTACAGGGGCCCCTGGCTTTGGGATGAGGTGAAGGAAGTAAGTTGCACAAGACCCATTCTGTCCCTGGAAGATCCATAAAGGCCAAGCAGGGGCCTCAGGAGCTACCTCTGCATTGGGAGTTAAGGAAACATCGATCTCTGGGTTCCATACCCCTGTTTCTAGCAAGGCAGCTTTATTTTATGCATCTTACAGATGGGAACCCAAGTGGGAAATTTATTTTCAAGAATACTTTACAAGGCTGAAGAAAAATAGAATCTCACTGCACTTGAAAAATCTCTGAATCTCCTTTGACTGAGATTCTATAAGCCACAGAAGTGCAATGTAGGGTAGGATCTTTAGATTCTTTTTTGAAATAAATTTAGTATTAAGAATTCACTCTGGAATTTCACAGTACCCCTTGAGGGATCTGTAGACATGCCATCACAGAGTCAAGGTCTGCAGTCAATGCCTCTCTTTCTCACCTTTGTTTTTTCTTGGGTAGAGTCAGGTGAAGAAACAATTCCGTCACCTAGTAAGTGGCCAGACTTTTAAGCCATCAGTCTGTCCTTGTAAAATAAACATTCCCAGGAAGCAACCTTCCCTGGAGGTCTTTATCTGACAGGGAGCTAGCTAGAAAGTGATTATTGAAATGTGAAAACTGTTTGAATAAGGAAGCTAGAATTGCATCTCTCCAGTTTGCGCTTTGTCAGTAAGCTTTAACTGATAATTGACAGTTTTAGCCACAGACTGAGGTGTTGGGTAATTTTGTTTATGCAGCAGAAAGTCGTGAAACCCAAAGAAGCTATTAGTAAAGCCTGGGTGACTTGAGTTTCGTTTAACAAAATAGCCAAACAGATGTTCTTCCAGGGTTCCGTGTTCTCAGACAGACACGCTACTCACGCCACC